TCATAATATATTATAAAGGAAAATTTATTTACTCTGATGTTGCTTTTAAAATGCTTGATTTATTAATAAAATTAATTCTTTCTTTCACTTGTGCTTTGTTGATACCTAAAAAGGCAAATGATTGTCATACACTTGATCAAAATGTCTTACCTGGGGGTGGGGGAGTAAGCACTACTATTAAAATGATATTAGCTAATATATGTCAGTGCCCTTACTTAACCTTTGACCTGTTCAGCACACAAAATAAAAAATAGCCAAACTCTATTTTTGTCACATGTAATATGCAGATCTACAAGTGAAAAATGGATGTACAAGTAGATCGATCTTATAATTAAGTCATATGATCAATGCAAATCAAAACATTTTATTAATTATTATTCAAAATCAGAACATTAACAAAACCCGTACCAAATACTGTAAAGTTTGGAAAAAATCATTTGAAACAACTGTAAAAAGAGGGTGCTATCTTTCCAGACTTTACAGTAATACTTTTATGAATGCATTCCAAAAAAAATTGCGCATTGCACTCCTTTAATATTAATTTTTCCAAAAATAGAAAAAAGATCAGGTAGAGAAGGAATGAGAATACGTTTCAAGCTCTATATAGCTCATAAACTTGTTTTTTTATGTGAATCTGTCAAAGTAACATGATTTCCTAAAAACATTTTTGGAAATATGATCACATTTCCAAATCTTTCAACAAAAATTCAGCGCATGTTTTTATTTCAGTGGTATTTGATGAAGTGAATCAACATATTGACAATCCTTTAATTTGTTGTGTAAATATGTGATGTTATTTTCATTTCAATTATTTTAGAGATGTAGTTCTGCAGAAGATAATAATAATGAAAAAAGAAAAAGAAAAGAGGAAAATAATAACAATCGTAATAGTAATTAATAGTAATCATTATTAAAATACAACAATTCATTATACCATTATTTAGACAAGGAGGAAAAAGGAATAATAGAGATGTAAAATTATCAAAAATCAAAAGGTAAAAATAGTAAAGAATTTATTATATATTTTGGGTTATTGACTAATATTAATAGTCACCATTATTTAACATCCAAGAGCTTGTCTAAACATCATTAGACAATAATAACAACAATGGTAATGATATTTATAATAAGATCTAATTATTTAAAATAAATTTTTTAAAAGGGCCTGATTTGCCCAAAATTCAAAAAATAATTCACTAAAAGAAAAACTTGTTGGAAGCAATCAGGCAGAAAATCCTCAAGAAGTGAATATTTGTATTGCACTGCTCCAAAAGAAAAGGCTACTCAAGAATCTACTATCAAGCAAATTGTCAATTTGCATAACCAATTAGTATTGGTAGTAGGTAAATTCAGCGAAATATTCTCTGAAATCATTAAACCAAAAGAGTAATATACAAAAAAGAAAATAGTTGGTTTATTAATTAGCTTATTAATGTTAAGTTTACTAACAATTGGACAACTAATTAATTATAAGATTGAAAAATCTAAAAGAGAATTATGTGTAAGGAACATTGCATTAAAGGCAAGTTCACTAATCCAATTAAAAAAATGGAATATTAGTCAAAATTATTGGGTGCTTTGTATAATCACCAAAATTTGCACCCTGAAGTTTTTTGCCAGTATAATAATACTTGACTTGATAATATATAATGCGAAAAAAAAAACCTTAATTGCCACTATTTTGTATTAGGAAAACCCCATATTAACGAAATCGAAATGCCAAAAATATCAGAAAGAAAAGGCTAAAAATTAAAATTAAAACCAAGAAAAAAAGAATAGAAATTAAAAAAAAAGACTAAATTTAATTTTGTAAATACCAATAAAAAATAATAAAATAATAATAAAAGTAAAAATAATAAAATAATAAACCGGATAATAAGAAGAAAACAGCTATATCGAAAAAAGATGTTACTTAGAATTTTTTTAAAAAAGGTGAGTTGGAAAAAAAACATATTCATTATAAAAGAGGAAAAAAAAAAAATATACAAAAAAAAAATAATAATATAAAGTATTAACGATCGATCATCTTGTCAAGTTACTAATTATTTCCCCATGAAATTGATATGATGAAAATAATAATAACAATGATAATAATGATAATAAAGTGATAATGTAAAGATGAATTATAAACATACAAGATTAAAAAATCTAATCTCTTTGCTGTTGATAACAATAATTAGAAAAGATAATCATCAACTTTTTCCTCCAATATATATATACAAAAATTAATTTTTTGAAAAAAAGAAGTTGATGGTAATAACCTCTTCAATTATATAAATCTTGTTCATCATTCAAAGCGTTTATTCTAGATGACAACAATAACAACAGTATCTTTTTCTTTTTTTATCTGAAATTAATTAATCACTCAAGATATTATTATTGTTAGTGAATGCCATCGCTGTAGTAGAAAGTCGTTTATATTGCAGTTGCAACGTCTGCAGTAGCAGTAGTTCCTTCTTCTCCTTGTTGTTCTTGTTGTTGCAGAATATTACTATTAGGATCAATTGTAAAAGTAAGAATGTTTGGAATATCTGAATGATCATCACTATTGAAAGTATTAGAATCAATATCTAAGCCATGACGATGAATAATTTCATTGTTATCACCAGTAGTCAAATTGGTAGATGTAATTGTTGCAGTAGATGAAGAAGATGGTGATGACAATGTATTAGATTTAGTTTGAGGAGCAATAATAGTAGTAGAAGCTGCTGCCGCTGTCAGATTACTTTCCAAATCTGCATCATCTAAAGGTTTATAAACATCATCAAATCCGGCCAAATCCATTTTTTCTCGAACACTAGCAACCCAATCATGATTATCAGGGTTTCTTAAAAAATCCACTAATTTTGAAAACTCTTCAACCAAAATTCTTTCTAGCTTAGCACCACTAAGTTCTTTTGTCATCAATAATACACCTTTGCCCAATAGTTCACACAATATACTAAGTCTCCATGCACAATTCAAACGATGTTTACCAACTTCTTTACCACCAGTTTTTTCTTTTATATGTAAGGTAACGGTTGGATCAATGAATGAAGAATAAGTTGGAAATGTGATTGGTGATGATAAAGGATCAGAATTATTTAATATATGATGGTGATGATGATGATGATGGTGATTGCTATTTCTTTTACCTAATGGACTTAAAGAAGAATCACTATGATGATTATTATTCGGTGAATGATGTGGATTTGCATGTGAATTTTGAGCCAATTCTTCTTTATAATTGTTATAAGTTGTAAATAATTTATAAAGTTCTAAATTTGAAAACACTTTGGAGGAAATACCATCAATTCTAGAAGTTGGTGGTGATTGTAATAAATGACATAATAAATTTAAACGAGGTGATGAGGTAAAAGAGCTATTATTATTATTATTATTGATACTGTTGTCATTACTGTTACTTGGTGGCGACCTAACATTAGAATAACCTTCCTTTATAGAAGCAATTAAAGCTTTTGCCTCATCTAATCTTTGTAATAAAACTGCTTTAGTAATCCCAGTAAAAAGACGTTTTACTGCTTCACAACCTGGTATAAAATGAATAAGTAATTATTACTATTATAATGATTATTTAGGTTTTTTTAAAAAACGGTTAATATTTGTTTTCATACTTAAAGGAGGAGCTTTATGTTTATCAGTAGAACGCCTTTTAGTTTTGTTATTTGGTTGAGTGGAATGATCTTCATCAGAGTTAGTACAATCACGCTTTCTTTTTGCATTCGCAATAGGAGAACCATGGGTATTCCAAGCTTCTTGATCCAATAATGATCCATCAACAATTTCATCTTTCTCTAATTCGTCAGACATGTCTTGGCTAGCACCATGGTGATGGCGATTGAAAACAGTTGGTGAAGAAATTCTTAATGGACTGAAATCTTTTTAAATTGTTTTTGTTAATATTACTATTAAATTTAGTATTACCAACGATATTAATATTAGTACCATTACCATTTGGAGATAAGATCTGATTCGATTTTAGTAAAGAATAATCGTCTGGATAATGTGGATAATAATAATGCTTATTTTCTTCGAATTCAATAAGGAAATCCTTTTGAATGCCATTTATTTGATATTGAAATTTTATTTTATTTTGAAACAAATTGCCCTTTAATCCTACATCTTCAAGAACAGCTTTAACAATACACAATAAACTAGCGAATTTTATAGGAGACTCTCGTGTTTTTTGTTTTAGTAACTCTATAAGACTTAAAGTTTCTTCGTCGCTAAGAATGTCTGCTATAGTTGGTTGTAATAATTGTGGTGAACTGTTGTTGTTTGTAGTTTTCACGTTATTGGTGGAAGCAGTTGAAGATTGTGTATTCGCAGCAGCAGATATTGATGGCGATAATGCTGAAGGTGAAGATGTTGATGTATTAGTTATCATTGTTGGTGTAGAATTGATATTTGAATTGCTATTGTTGTTGTTGTTGTTGTTGTTGTTGTTATTATTATTATTATTATTATTATTATTATTATTACTGCAATTATTGTTGTTTTGTTGTTGATAGAATTGTTGTTGTTGGTGATGTTGTTGGTAATGTAAAATTAGATTTAATGGTTGTACTGTTCCACCACCACTACTATTACTTATTAAATGACGTGGAGGATCAACATCCATAGGAGTTGACGATGATGATGTAGTGTTTGCGTCGGTTATACCAGGTGAAGATGATTTATCAATGATATCCGTCCCCCCTACACCAAGGTTAACACCATTACCACCAATATCACCAGAATTAATATTACTAATAAATTCACCTACACCACCACCACTATTAATGCCATCGCTTACACCACCACCACCACCACTACCACCATCATCAATATTATTATTATTATAATTTTCAATATTAGATTGTTGTTGATGATTTTTACACAAAAATTCTACTACAAAACTTTGACCATTATATTCAAAATCCACAGTTGTCTTGTTACCAAACACAGAATCTGAAAAATAAGGTTTACCCAACACGTAATTGATAACAATTAACATGCTAGCCAGTGAATAGGCTGATAGCGAGGTTTTCTCTCTAAGAATCTCTACAGCTTTTAATAATTGGGAATCGGTAACTACATCGGCTATTGTAGGACGTAAGATAATAATTGCATTGCTCATTGGTTGTTTTTGTATTGGTGAAAATTTTGATAATTGTGTTTGTTTTTGTGGTGTTGTTTGTTTTTTTTGGTTCTTGGTTGTTGTAGTTGCAGTAGTTGAAGTTATTTCACGCATTATTTCTTCTTTAAAGTAAAAAATAATAAATAATAATAATATATATAAAATAGAATTATAAAAAAAATTGAAATTTAATTATTATTATTATTATTATAATTATATAAATATTTAAGATAGATAAGATATATATATGTATGTGTTATTATCGACTAAGCTTTTTTCAAAAAAAATAAAAATAACTCTTCGTGGTGTTCCAGCCCACCACACACGTCTGTCTATGTAAAAATAATATATATTTGTTTTGTCTATTTTAAAAAAAAAAATAAATTTATAAAAATTGGGTTTATATTTATAAATTTTATATTATATATATATATTTATTATTAGTTTTTTTAAAAACAAAAGAAAAAATAATTGTTCGATTGTGTGTGTTAGAAAGTTGTTGTGCTGGAGTAGTAGTAAGTTGGAAAAAAATTTTGCTAGTAGTAGTAATTGGACGGATTAAGATAGATTCAGGTAGATTCTTTGGTGAGTTGATTGATTTTCTTTGTTAGGGTTTGTTTATTTTGATTGGCTGAATTTTTGACTAAATTGGATATGGAACGGATTCTATGGGGATACCAAGGATAAAGAAGTAACAGGAGAAGGAAGGATAAATTATTTTTTTAAATTGTGTGCGTTGATTTCCGTATGAAATTTGAATCATCCGTCCACTAAAATGATATCTTCCATATTTCAATTACTTGATTAAAACATCACGTATATATTTTAACCCCCCCACATCTTAGCATTAGCTCATAAAAGGTTGTACCACGATTCATATCAGAGAAATATTAATAATATATTGTTATTTTAGAACGGCACTCGATTGTTTCACACCCATACCAAATTAAAATACGAAGATTGATCAGGTGCCCTTGTTCATCGGTCAAACCAGCCAAAAATAGTCTAGCCATTTCTATTTTCTGACCAAAAAATTTTTTAACGGTGTTACAGATTTATTTTGTAAAAATTAAAATTTCCCAAAGTTTAAAAAATGAGATTCTGGGTTCAATTAAAATCTAAAAACAAGTCTATTTTAAAAAAACAAATTTGGCAAAATAGTAATTTTCATCAATCAATTTATCGTAAGTTTTCTTTGTCTTTTTTTTTTTTAATGTTTTTTCTTTAATTGATTTAGTAATCACAAATTCTTTTTTTCTCTAGCTGTCGGGTCATTATCAATAATATCCGTGAAACCTCGACCGTTTTCAAAAATCCAAAATAATTTAATATTCAATCCAATAAAATCTAAATTTAAACTATCAACAAAATCAACAACGACAACAACGAAAAAATCAACATTCGAAATATCATCGATAATAACTGAAGATGGATTTAAACCAATTCCTGAAGAAAATATCGACGAAAGCTTTAGAAACGAATTTAAATTATTGAAGCCTAGTGTCGAGGATGTCAGGAAAAGGCTTTTAGATGGTGAAGAGGTTTTGTTATATGATTCGATAACAAAAGAATCTGGATTTTGGTGGAAATTAAACTTTTGGGGCTGGCATGTTGTTGCCTTTTTTATAATTATTGGACTGTAAGTTTTTTTAAAAAAGAATCTTTCGCGCTTATATTTATGTGTGAATGAATGAATGAATGAATAGATGGACGGATGAATGGTTGGATGGATTTGATTTTTATTATTTTTCTTTTTGTTTTATAAAAGTGGAAACACTGCATTAATGATTTGGGAAAGACCATTAGTAGAAAGTCAAGATATTCTGAAAAGCAATAATAATGACGATGGCGATGATGAAAATAATAACAAAAATGAACGAGCGAATAAAACGAGAGGACCTAACGTACCATATAAGTTTCTGATTATAGATAGTAAAGAAAAGAAAATTGCAATGGTATCAGCGATCTTGGCCTTTGTTGCATTTTCTTCGTATATTCTTCTTCAAGTCCCACGCAGGTAATCATCCGATCGATCGTATGATATCAATCAATTCAATTCAATTCAATTAATATTTTACTCGTTCATTGGTTTAGAATTATAAAATCAATTAGTTTGTTAGAAAAAAATTCAATTGTAAGGATTAGAACAGGTTCAATGAATCCCATAAAATACAGAACAATTGATTGCCCAGTTGAAAACGTAAAGATTAGACAAATTATTGTGGGTAAGTAATATATATGTAATAGATATACATGAATGGATTAATCCATCTATAATAATATAATCACCAATATTATATATATGTTTATATTCTATAGACAAGGAATCTCCCACTTTGATAAATTTATACTTGAATGATCAATTTATCCCTTATGTAATGATTAAATCAGGGTTTTTTAAAAATCTTTTTTTATTCCAATTACTTTTTTATGAAAGCAAGCAACCCAGATTTTGATTGGTTGATCAATTGATTAATAATAATCTAAATTTACGCGCATGTGTATTTTTTTTTTTATAATAATAAAAACATGATTGATTATCTTGAAAAAAGATTTCGAAACTATTTATCAAACACTTATTCTAAATATGACTTTGTTTGGACTTTAAGCCATTTCGAACAGATTCTTGAAAGAATACCAAACAAACAATTTATCTTCAGTCCTTTGTTTACAAGTCCAAGATCAGGCGTGTCGACAATACCAAAAAACGCGACTTCCTTATCATCATCATTACCTAGTTCAACAAATTCTCCGCCATATGAACTATCACCGTTTCCATCTGTATCATCATCTAACAATAATAAAAAAAGAAGACTTCAAAGTAGCAACAATAATGATGGAGCTATTATTATTAATAATGAAGAAAGTATCGATGATGATGAAATTGAGGTTGAAGATGATATGTGGAGATTAAGAATATATCCAAAAGGTGATGATAATAATGGATATTTGTCGATTTATATGGATGCTTTTCAAACCAAATTTGAGAAAAAAAACAATATAAACGTTAGAAAAAGAAGATGGACCGTTAGGTTGTATTATCTTGATTCTGACAACGTGTTTAAAACCGTTGGGAAAAAGCTGGATCTCAACAGCACATGGTCTCTTAGTGAATCCACGAGTTGGGGTTCCGGGAAGGTCTGCTTACTAAAAGACGTTCTCAACAAGAAAACAAACGAATTGAATTTATTGATATGTATTAAAATTGTAGATGTTAATGCAAATTTGCCTGAAGATTTTGCCGAAGATTCATATAATGATAATAATGGTAATACGAATAGTAATTGTAATAATGGCCAATTTGATAGCACTTGTGAGTTTTTAGAAAGACACGCCGAATTATTTGGTGACGATAGATTCGCTGATGTTACATTTAGATTGGACTGTGGATCGACCGTCAAAGCAAGCAAAATATTAGCTGCAGCACATTCAAGATATTTTAAAAATCTTTTGAGCGGTGATTGGGCAGAAACTAGGAAAGGGGAAGTAGTAGAAATAAAGGATGTGAGCAAAGAATCCTTTAAGTTAATTTTATATTATTTCTATTCAGGAAAAATTTCAATATCTCCTGATAATGACGATCAAACCATTGGAGTATTGAAAGAAACATATATCAAGTGTGACATGTGGGGAATCGATCGTCTTTTGATGTTGATACGAGAGCAATTAATTAAAAGATTGAATAAAGACAATTGGGATGTATTGTTATTGTTAAGTTATAAGTTTGACGACAAAAAATTAAAAGACAAAATTTTAAGTTTCATATCAAAGAATTATCCAGAAATCGACAATACTATAAACATCAAGAGATTTGTTGACGAAGCAGAAGTGGAATGGGTCAGGGAAATGATGTTTTCGACATTCTTTGATATTTAGAATATTTATTACCATTCATTACCATATATTTATTTGTTTCACGATCTAAACATATTAATCAATCAACGGTTTATTAAATTATTTGGAAATTTATTACAATTATTTCTAAAATAAAATATGAATTAAGTGAGGTGTTTTTTTTATACATATAACATAAATGAAAATAGATTTTCTGTTAAATTTTTTATTATTATATTATTATTTTTATAAGTTTATATTATAGAATTCTATATTTTATATATATTAAGTAATAATTAAATTAATTAATCTTTGAAATAATTTTTCTTGTTCTCAAATTATATTTAATTTTCAAGGATGAATCGTTATCAATAATATTATTTATAGTTGATGTTTTTGTTGGTGTTTTTGTTACAATTAAATTATTGTCTTTTTTGATAATTTTTATGTTATTTGTATCATCATCAATAAAATTAGTAATACATTGATTATTATATAAATTTTTTTTATTGTTATTATGATTATTATTATAAATTTTAGTAGTAGTAATATTAGTAGTATTGTTAGTATTGGCATTAATGCTACAAGGCATATAAGTCCCAAGAATTCTATCCCAAAATGTAAAAAACGGTTGAGAATAATTCATCTTTATTCCATAAACCTGATGATGGATATCATGACTTGAGAAAAAAAAAAGAAAGAGATTAATTAATTATAAAACTGGTCAATTAAGAAAAAAAATTTTTTTTAAATGCTTACTAGGCTGAATTATTTCCAAATATTTTTTGAATTGGGTTGAATGGTAAAGCATAACCACAATGATCATCGACTAAATTGATTGATATATAAAAAAATTAAAAATTTTTAGTTAACCAAAAAAAAAAATAAATAATTATCATCATTATCATTATTTGATTGATTTTTTACCAGTCTTAAAAGTAGCAAATCCAAAAAATAACATTCCTCCTCTGGTTGATAATCCTGAAATTTTAAATGACAAACCTGCACCCACTGTATCCATTATAAATCCTTCAATTGGATGGTTATAAAGTGCACCAAATGCATATGGCGCATATAGTTTATGATGAAGTGAATGAATGTGACGATAAAGAAATGTATTCTGATGGAAATATCTATGCATGAAATATTGCCACGTATCTAGTAAAATCCTAGCAAAAAAATAATTTAGTAAGTTTAATTTTCTATCAAAATTTTGAATTTGGTAGGTTTAAGGGTAGATCTGAATATCTAAATTATCTAAATGATCTAATAATAAATACAAATAATCTCATAATAAATACCAACCAAATTAATCAAACAATAAACACAATAATCTAATAAATAATAAACACCAAATAATAAAATCTAATAGATTTACTTACATTGCAAAAGCAAATCTTAGTAGTGGAAATAAATACCAATATAATAATTCAATAATTATATTGCCGAATGGTTTAATTGCAAATTTCAATGATTCAAATTTATCAACAAATAAATCTAAACTTTTTTGATATTTTAAAATTTCCAATGTGTCATCAACCAAAGCATCCTCATCATCTACAACAATTATCAATAATCCAAATAGAGTTTGAAAGAATTGTTGTAACAATACACCCTTAATAACTTCACCGATTGTAACTTTATTCTTTGTGTCAATTTCAATTGAACTGTGAATTTTATATTTCTCGAAAATTGAAATTTTAAATATTGAAATGAAATAATAAAATCCAGAGTATATCCAATAAATCATAAATGGTACAAATAGTGAAAGTTGTTTATCTGACATAAACGAAACTAAAGGTGATGGATGAAGCATAACAATTGGTGATGATGATGATGATGATGATGATGGTGATGGTGGTGATGATGGAGATATTGTTGAATTCATTTATTATTAAGTTTTATTTTTATTTTTTTTATTAATTGTTTTTCATTAACTAATTAATTTCCAATATATATTTTTTTTATATATTTTTTTTAAAAATTAAAAATTTTTTTTAGTTTTTTTTTAATAAAAAATTTAATTTCTAACGTGACAATGTGAAAAAAAAATTTTTTGTTTCTTTTTAAAAAGCTTTCTCATTTATATATAAATTTTTTTGAATACACATACATACATATAATGTGCAATTTACGTTTTTAAAAAAAACAATGTACGATAATATATATAAAATCAATTACAAATAGAGAAAAGTTACACTAACTTAGATTGTAATTTCTTCCGTTGAAGAATTAGTCATTTTGAATAGTTAATACAATTTTATTACTAGTTTTAAGTTTTAAATTTGTGTTTGTGTAATAGCATTTTGTTAATAATATCTCACATTCATACTCTAATATTACGAATAAAAAATTTTGAACGATCGATCCGCAAAATAATAAATAAATTTGATTGGAATGACATTGTTTCTCTTCTTTATATTACATCGTTATTCCATCATACAAATTTTTAAATATATAAAACAAGCTAATTGTATCAATTTTTTCTTGCCACATATATTTTTTTATGCTGTGTTTTGTTTTGTTTGGACATATTTGTAAGTCGTCTGGTTATAGGGCAAAATTGTCGACCAATTATATATATTCTACATCAACTCGTGACACCATAGGTCTTATTCCGCGCAGTCTTATTTAATATTATTACCTTTAAAGAATTCATTTGTGTAACCTCTAATTTTTAAAGATGACGAATTTTACAAAAAAGGATTTAAATTAAAGCGTTGTATAGAAAAAATTATTTAATCAATAAGCATTAATTTAAACATCATTCATTCATCCAATTAATAAATATTATTTAATTAATGTGTGAATGTTAATGATCTGCGTGGTGCATTCCTACATCAAAGAATTCACTTGGTTTTAATATTAATAAATAGACCCTTATAAATCTTTTTAAGCTGTTAAGGCTTCTCTCTTTTTATTAACTCTTACACATCATTTTAGAATTGGTTGGAAATTATGAGTATTGTTATTGTGTTACACGCACTCCTTCTTAAAAAAATTACGAATTCACTCATGACGTTACGAAATTTTACTATATTAAAATAAAAAAATAAGATTAAATGAATACAAGAGAAAATAAATTTTACAAGAAAAAGCAATACGATATTTGAATATTGAATATTGATTGAATGTTGAATGTTGAGTATAAATATTTTAATATTAAAAACGTGTATCATAGATGTCCTCGCCGATCCGAAATGCGAAATAGTTTTCATAGTGATAGTAATAGTAATAATAGCCGGAAATTATTCGAAATCAAATGGCATAATTAATTTGTGTTTCATTCATCTTAACTGTATCTATGGCTTATGCGAAATTGAGTATAAAGAATATTGAAAATCATAATTACTTTTTTCCAAAAACGATTTCGGCAAAAAATAAATGCTAATCAAAATGGATCAAATAATCAATCCACAAGAAAAGTGATTGCTTTGATCCATTATATTTTTATTCATTTCTTCGTCTGCAACATGCAGCTCATCGTCCAAGTTTTTAGAATTTTTAAAAAAAGAACTACACAGTAAATCTCGATTTAGCGGATACTAATACTAATTAAAATCTCGGTTTTGCGGATAAAGTTCAAAGAACGGTACCTTAATAAAAACCTTCTCGATATAACGGATATCTCGGTTTAACGGATTTTTGGAAATTTTCCCTAATTGCCCAAACTATCCGCTAAATCAAGATTCACTGTGTAATATTAAAAGAAAATTTTTACCAGAAAAAAACATAAAAATAGAAAATAAAGCTTTTCCACCTCTCTATTCTTTTTTTTCCAAATCTTTGCCACCCTTCACAGGACCTCCCCTACCATGAATATAGTCAGAAATGTTACTTCTCAAAATTTTATTAACCAAACCGGGACTGTTGCATTAAGTAAACATGCCTTTTAAAGTTATTTGCATATAATTTAGTCTCGTCGAGTTTGCATTATTAATGAATTTAGGATGAAAATTTTAAATTAGACAAAAAATTCCGTGAGTTTTATGAAAACTTTGAGCTTAGTAAAAAAGTTCAAAACTCCGTTGAATCATGGATTATGTCATTAAGTAAGTCCACTTAAAATATCTTGAATTATATATGGTTAAAATTTGAGAAAATTTAATAAAGTATAGACAACGAAACGTAAAGCCTTAAAATTCGCATTTTTGTCAACTTTATTAAGTGTTTTTATATAATAAAATTATGGGTGGTCGGATACTTTTTTTTAAACCCTTTTCACGAACTAATTTATGCCAACACCGTATTGTAGATGTATGTAATCTATTACGTTGAGAACGTTTTATTAATGAAATAATATACATTACAATGAAGAAATTTGACCTTTTGTTACATGTAAAGACTCCGATAGAAAATTTGCTTTTTTGGACTATTTGTTAAATGTTTCCATTAATACCATATCAAACCTTTCGAAGCTTTTGTAATTTGGAGATTTTGATATCAAGTACAAGTCTACTTTGTAAAGTAAAAAAGGTTTTATTTAAGAAAACGTTACTTTTTTTTTTAGTAAGGTCTCTTTTCATTTGACGTTACACAACTCTGGTGGTCGGATATTTATGGTAGGTGAGTGTATATATGTAGACTTTACTAATAGCTCTATGCAAGGGAATTTTATAAGATTGCAATGCAAAGTTAGCACCTTACATCAGATAATCGGAAAAAAAATTAAGCAAACTAATCTTCTGACCTTTGATTACCATGTGATTTTCGGCTAATCCAGCTTTCAACGTAAAACCATTTTTATAAGTAAACAAATTAATTTTGTATATACATTAATAAAGCTCCGAACGAATCAATGAAATTCGAACCGATTCGAATTAGAGGTTGGCACCGTTAACCGTTTAACCGTTTTAACCGGTTAATTAATTCGGTTAAATGGTTAAAATTAACCGAATAATTTAACCGGTTAATTTTTGTGTAAGATAAATCATCTTTATTATAATTAACAAATAAATAATAAATAACATATAATCCATCCATTCATTCAACATTAAAACAATTGAATAATTATCTATTTTTATAATTAATATGAATTTTGTCTAGATTTTTTTGAGAATTATGTTAATGAAGAAAATCAAAAGTCTGGGCTTACTTTGAAGAAAAAGCAAACAAGATTTATTGCAAAGTGATTATCAATCCTCGAACAGAAATTAAATGTGGTGCAAAATATGCTAATTCTGACATCACATCAACTTCAACATTAAATTATCATTTAAAGAATTGTCATCAAATTTTAGTTAATCCTGAAGTATGTTTAGATTTTACATTATTTGTCTAATAAATGTATTTATTTATCATAATTCAAATTTTTTTTAGAAAATCGATTCAAAATTAGATGTGTTTGAAAAAACTAAAGAACATCCACAACACAAGATGAATGAATTATATCTTGCTGTGGCCGAATGGGTTGTATTAGACTCTTTACCTTTTAATAATACACAGGAAGGTTTTAAAAGATTTATCAAGAAAACAGATCCTAAATTTCGTGTACCAAATAATAAAACAAAAATATTATTGCAGACAAATATCTTTCAATACCTACAACGTCTGTACCACCTGAAACACTTTTTAGCGATGCTGGTAATCAAATAATTGCAAAAAGGACCAGATTAAGTTCTGAAATTGTTAACAAAATTTTATTTAAAAAGAAATGATTTTTATGAAAACTTTATAATAGTTAATTTACTTTCATTAAATATGGCAATGGTAATTTGTTCGTAACCAGTTAACCGGTTAAAAAAAATTAACATTTTAACGGTTAGTTAACCGGCCAAAGAATTTTTAAATGGTGCCAATCTCTAATTCGAATCACCTAATTTTGATTCGAATCAGTTCGAGTTGAATTGAATCAAATTCGAACTGTATCCTAATTCGAATATTAAATATATAATTTGATTCAATTTGATTTGAACTGATTCAACTCAACACGATTCGAACTAGTGATGGTAGCCGAAGTTTTGCTTAGTAGGCCTAAATTGCCGAAATTAATTGACCTAAACTTTGACGAAACTAGTTTTAATGGCTGAAATCGGGAGTTTTTTAAAATAAAGCAGATTGATTTAGATACTTATTATATGTATTGAACGAAACTATTTTTTTCCAAAAACAGTTTCGGCTACGATCACTAAATAATATCCTTTATCAATTAAAAAATTTAAAATATACACAATCTTGGTTTAGCAGATAGTTTGGGTAATTAGAAAATTTTTTCCAAAAATTTGTTATTATTATATTCAAACCTTGTCACAGCAGACTAATAATAATTAAATCTTATCAACGGATTTTTAAAATTTTTGCTTCACATATAAAAACATAAATTTTTCTTATTATGTGTCCTGTATATCAGTTGTGACTATATCAAAAAATCCATTATATTGAGAAGAATTTTATCATCATCATTATTATTAAACCTCAATCTGTTATTATCCATTAAATCAAGGTACTGTAAAATAGTAAATTATAGATATCATGGAATAATTTGACAAGAAATGAACCAGTACAATTTAATAAATGTTACACTAATTAATAAGGTGCACCAATTAAATAAATAGCTCTCAGAAAATAACCCAAATATTGGAGATATAAATATTCCAACATTCTAAAGTGTAATGAACTACAAAGTCTCAGAATAATATTTAAATGAAAGAATTTAACATGACTCACATTGACTAGAAATTACTTGAAAATAATTCTAGATGGAAGGTTTAAATAATAATTAAGGAATATATTAATTAGTATAAATTAGGATTTCAATGAAGTCAGATAACTAGATGATAGAACCTTTAACATGTATAAATACATTGTAAATTTCTCTTTAATGTAATAATCAGTTAATTCATTCTTAACTATTATCTTGTAATAACAATAATATCTTATTAATAAAATACAAACATAAATATCTCTTAAAAAATAATCGCTTCCAAAATCATATAAACCTTTTGCTCTAACTCAATTATTAATTAATTACTATCTTACCAGGGGGACGCCTTTGATAAGTATAGTTGTGTGTGTGTATTTTCTTTATTTTTATTTAGATTAGGCCAATGCCTAAATAGTGGAAATCCTAGATAGGTGAGGTCAGTTAAGAGACTGAACCATAATATAATAATTAGTGCATAAAGTATCATGGTGAATACTTCAGATATTATAAATATCATTGAGATGTGCCAGCTCAGGCAGATAACAAAGAACTGCTGAGAAAATGTTACTGGAAGGGAAGTAAGGAAACTTGCCCTGTAACTAATTAAATAGCTTGAGTGCTATAATAAGAGACAGTAATCAAAGGATTACATAACTGGATATGGCCATAAGAAGGGATAAATAATATTTTAACCAAATCCTAGAGATTTGTGTGAGACGCGGATTTTGACACTACATTGAGATTCACTGTATTATTTAGGAATCTGGTTTGATTTGAATCGAATTCAGTTTTTTTGAATTCAATTTGATTCAATTTGTCCAGGACCTTAATCCAGTGTCTACCATATTTTAACCGCCAGAAGACAATTTAAAAGAAGAAAATAACTAACAACAATAACAAATCATATATACAACTATCTTTTTGATTCCTTTTTAGTTAATTAATCTACATCCACATACACATCATTATGATTATGTATAAAATATCCAATCTTTGACACTTCACATTCATTTCCTCCTTTGCCTGATATCATTATTTCTATCATCATATGAATAAAACATAAAAAAATTTTTAATATCTTTATAATAATATCTATATCCTTTAATTTATTAATTTTAAATAAATGATCTTACAAGTATAGAGTCTAACCCATGAATTATCTTGAACCATGAATTGTGTCTGCATCACCACTTGCTTGAATGATATTGATTAAATCTTTTATTATATGTACCATAAGTGATTGGGGTGTACAATGGACTAATGTAGATCAAAACTAATTAACATCATATATAACTAATAAACCTTTTTCAACAATTATAAAAATAAAAATTGCATCTTCTCATTCAAAATCATAACAACAATTTCCACAAAGGTATATTTATGCTTTACTCTCAAAACTATTTTCACTATCATTAAACAATTCTTTATACTAAGAAATACTAAAAAATATCTTTTTTAGATTTACACTGTATATCCCCTGATCACATTTCTTGGTGGGTGCCCTTCTAGCTGTTTTCCTCTTTGCTACCAAGTCAGGTATGTTTCCAAGCTTCATTAAATAAAATTTATTAAATATTATCTCTATACATCATCAGGAATTTTTTTCCGTGTAAAATCCACTGAGAAATCCACATAGAACCATCATGGAAATCTAAGTAGTACTAGTGATCACAATCATCATATTCATGAATATTCATTAAGGGGGTTACACTTATCAAAATCAAGTGATTGACAGATAATTTTAAGGGATTTTTGGATTTTTGATAAGTGTAACCCCCTTAATGAATATTCATGAATATGATGATTGTGATCACTAAGGATGGGCACTACGTATATTGCCCATATCCAGTCAATCAATGTTTTTTCCGTGTTCGCTGGCTTGAGAGACATCACAATCAAGCCAACTCAGCTAAAAGCAGATAGCCAAATTCCAATGAAAATACTAATGCCCCTATAGATATATAATGTTTAATGTCTGATTCTTTATCACGTATTTGCTCATTTGCTTCAACTTCAAATACTACATCATAATAAAGCTTGAGACCCCAAGGAGTAAGTGTAACAAGTACAACCATCCATTATCCGTGACAACCGATAAATGCATAGATAGTTGGTCCTAATGTCATAGCAGTAACGATGATTTCCAAGGTTGAATTCTGTGATTTACAAGGTTTACCCCACAACCGTGGTGAAAGCGGAGGACAATTCATTCCTGGTAAAACGATGCTACAAGTTGAAAAGGTCCAACAAACTATTCCAAAGATTCCATGTGAACAAGATGTTTGCTGTGCTAGTTTGTTAAAAATATTAGAAGGGACACAGTGTTTGCTTGAGTATCTAAGTATCATGACAACAAAACTCCGTTAAAAGGGTTATAGCTGACCAAACCTACCAGACATACTGCTCAAATATATGCTTAGTCGCATGTTAAATCCACAAACAACACAGAAAAGAGCTTTTCACAAATATGTGCATTTTAAAAAATTAAATTTAACAACGTTAAACATTTGTAAATATACCGTTTCATTAAAAATTTGAATTAATACAGTGCGGATCATCTATACTCAAAAGTCAAAATTTTTGAAATATTATGTGATCCACACATTGGATTTTAAAAAACCCGCCACCATTCAATTCAGCTTTAAAAAGG